ACTTTGGAAAAATTCTCGAATTCGATTTGCAATTTAAAACACAACAATATTTCACCATGGCCACTAGGATAACATACACATAGGAATAACAATATTTATATTAATCCACGAAATTAACTATTTATATATAAGCATAGGTATTAAAATAATAAAGTAGGTATAGGTATAATAAATCGAAATTTACTTAATAAACAAGCGTTGCAGGTAATACCGTATAAGAAAACGAAATTTACTTAATAAACAAGCCATTTGAAAGACGTTTTAAATTAAAACAAAACACAAGACACTCAGTCTATAGACTGAGTGTCTGTGTGTATAGGTAGCTTTATTCGATACACTTGCTATTAAAACTAAAGTTTATTAAGTAGTGGGTGGATTTTTTTGCTCCAAAATGTAGATTTTTAACAATTATTTACCTAAAACACAACCTCAAATAACCATACCATAACAAATATACGTGCAAAAATCATTATTTGATTTGTTGTTGGTAGCCCTGAACAAGATACCGCAACGTTGCCATACTTCTCCTAGGTGATTTTCCCGTCTAAATTCAAGGATTTGTGAAATATCCTTGGTCTAAATTAACAAAAAAATCTAACCTTCAAAACACTGCTATAATATACTGTGCCAATCTAGTACAATTCTACTAGATCTAGTACTTTTTGAATACATTCTGTACTTTGGTACTCTTGGGTCACTTTTAACAGCCGCAGAATCCGAATTAAGCTACAGTTATTTTTTGGGACTGTCTACGTGTCCTACTAGTAGGATTTATAGCCTGTTCGCTAAATATCCGACTAATAGGACAAATAGTAGTAAGGCTAAATATCCTACTATTATTCAGAATTCGGCAAAAAAACACTCAAAAGTGAGGTTAGTTTAGGTTTTTACACCATTTGTTTGACTGCAATAATTAAATTATAATAGATTTCAACGTTTGAGAGAAATTCAATTCCTTTTTCGAGATACAGACATTTATAAAGAAGTATGAAGATCAAAACTTTGTACAATTGTATAAAAAAGATTCATTAACATTAATTTCTGCTAAAAAAAACTTGCCAAAACGAGTAGAGAAGGCCAATAAGGACCTGAAATATTATCGGATTACGTATACTTGTTGTATTGGTGGTAGAAAATATAAAAGTAAATCGACTGGAAAGCGTACTACAAGGAAAGTACATAATATTATGTACATGTTATACCTAGAGATGCGACTTGAAAAAAAAACGGTCCGTTTTTTTTGTTTTTTTTTCAGGTTTTTTTTCATTGTTTTTTTTTCAAATGGTTTTTTTTCACATTTTAGGTTTTTTTCAAGAATAGTCCCATTTGCCTAATTTTTTATGTTTCCAGTCCAGTTCATGGACTAAAATTAGTCACTAAATTACGGTATTCGTTAGGACTGAGCGTTGCACGTTTTTCATCTAAAAATCTCAAAACTAGAAACTTCAAGCTTCAAATTGCTTTTTTTACGGCTCCAATACGACCATTTTTAACAAAGATACAGCTATCCTTTAATTTTTTGTATTAGTGTAGAAGTTTTACATTGCTATTGGTTTCTAATGTGGAAACCACCAAATAATAAGAAATCAGATTTTTTAGTCTCGGTCAAAATTTTCAATAATGAAAAATGTAATATATTCTACATTTTACTTTATTATTAACATACATTTTACTCAAAATTTCATTTTGAAAAAAAAAACAAAAAAAAACCGTTTTTTTTTCTAGTTTTTTTTCATGTTTTTTTCACATCTGAAAAAAACCGTTTTTTTACATCTCTAGTTATACCTATAAAGGGATTTAATTTCGCAGTGGCTATTTACACGTCCGGCGTGTCAATTATTATTTGTACGTCGGACGTGAAAAATCCTATTTCCACGTCTGAGGCGGACGTTGCAGCGTTTTGTTCATTAGTTTTATGGGTGTGGGGCTGTTTTGTGCTTTTATTTACTGTGGTTACGCAGGTACACTGCATTGTGCCATTCCAAACAAACCCAAACTTAACAACCTAACCCAACCGACCCCGCCCCATTGTCACAATCCAGCCTGCTCTTAGATATATTATACTTCTATTGCTCAATGGGGAGGGGGGACCAATGGGGCGGGGTCGGTTGGGTTGGGTTGTTAAGTTTGGGTTGGTTTGGTATGGCACAATGCAGTGTACCTGCATAACCAAGATGACAGCTAATCATCATAACCTTGGCAATCCAACATGAAAATTGATCTCCATTTTTCATGTTGATCTTCGAAAAATACCTAAATATTTAATTAGCTCTGTATACAGAATATAGACAATTATTTTTTGCCGAATTCTGAATAATAGTAGGATAGGATATTAGCCTTACTACTATTTGTCCTATTAGTCGGATATTTAGCGAACAGGCTATAAATCCTACTAGTAGGACACGTAGACAGTCCCTTATTTTTTTTCATCTGGACTCGTGTTTTTTTGTTAGGTTGGTGGCTTATGCCAGTTTGACTTAGTATTTTTAGTATTTAAAAATGGTACTTCTGCTAAAGAATTTAATTAAATACTTTGACACTGTCAAATTGACAATAATATTTATTATTGATAATTTACTTGTCAATTATAAATAAAAAGATAATTATGCCAAAAATAATAGCAACGAATTCGAATGTAAAAGCCCTTTTGAGGGCAAAACTTCATTTCGATGAAATTATGCCACAATGGAAGAAAAAGTACATCGCTTTATGGACATTTTTGGAGTAAAAAAGTAAAGAATTTGGTTTTATAAATATAACATCACACAATATTTTCACATTATACCCCATTGGAGAACATTTACGTTCACAAAAAATTTTAATTTCTTTTATATAAATTCTTTTCAAAGCGAAGATTATTATCCGCTAGGAATACTTTCTCTTCTGGGCCGTAAAGCAACCTATATTTAACTACTTTTTTATATGATTTTACTCATCCAAGCACCACCAAAGCCAAATTAATTGCATTTTTAACTACGAATTTCGACAACTCAAATTGACAACTGCACAATAATAACCTACAATAATTTATACATAACCACAATTAGATTTATAACTAGCTTAGTTTGTTTTAATCAATGCGACCAACTTGACAACTGTATTTACCAACCAAAAATTTAATTTTGCAATGTTGCCGCAGTCCAGATAAAAAAAAATTAACTTTAGGCAGAAGTATAAATAACAAAAAAAACATTTGTATGTCAATTTTAATAAGCTTAAACAACAGACCTTTGCTTCTACTTCCGCAACTGCGTTCTTCATACTTTTTACACCTGATACTGGTTAAACAGTTGCGGAAGCAGAAAAATGTGAGGTTAGATAGCTTCAGAACGTCAGCAGATATCGATTTTTTTTATTGGTTTTAACAGGTTTTTTTTACAGACTAAGATGTAAAAAACTTTACCTGATTGGTCTACATTAATTTACAGCCTAGGAGATAATTGAATATTTTGGTTGTGAGCGTCGACAATAATAAAGCTTAAATTATAGAACACTTAAAGATAGGTAATAGTAAATTATATTACATATTTGTGTCAAGTTTATAAACGAGTTGCATACTATACTTTTCCTATGACAAATACTTATTATTTTCTTAAAATGATTTAAATCTATATTACCGATAGCGATAATAAAATAATTTTTACATTTATTTTAACGATTGGATGACATTTGTTAACAGTTTTAAGTTAGTTGACAGTTACTGTCAACTAACTTAAAACTAACTTCAGCTGGTGACTAAAAACCTGTTGCTAACTTCAGCCTGTGACTAAAGCCACGACTCAATGAGTATTTAAAAGGTCAGGAATTTTAAAGGTGGAAGTAGATTTATTAAATTTAATTTATAAACGATGTTGGGGATATTTTTTTAATTTGCTAAAACGACGTTTGTGGCAAAAATAAAAAATCTTAAAAATCAAAAAATAGTTTTATTATTTGTAATAACATTAAAAAAATACAATATTCTTACCTAATTCCTAAATGTGGCCATTTAACTTTTAATTTTTCCAGAACAGTAATTTCCTCACAGACATTATCATTACTACTTTTGGCACATTGTTTTAAATATTTTATCGTATAATTTAAACAATGCTCGGCGAATTCTTTTTCGATAATTTCGGTGGGCTCCTCTTTTACTACCACAGATTCCCCCACAATAATGTCTTTGTCGGTTTCTTTTTTAATTACAAAATTGTCACTTAAAACTTCACTAGTGCCATCGTAGTCCATGTGGCTTTCACAGGCGTCTTCTGGTTCTACTTTGATAGAAATTGGCGGCGGAACTATGGGCTCGTCAGTTGCTTTATCTGAAAATTAATTTTTATTACCACGGATAAAGTAGTTTAGGCACAGAAGAGGGAAAGGCAGAAGTCGCACTTCCCAGATTTCGTGTCGCAAAATTGGCATTGCGCATCCGTGTCGCGCACGCAGTTTCAAGTAGGCCAATCAAATTTGTTATATGGGAGATCCCTATATCAAGGACCCCAATTTTTTTCAAAATCCGCTTATTCACTTCCGCTTTATATTTATCTCAAAATGCCCCTTTTTTTTAATTTTTCGATAAATTCTACATTTGAAGTGGTCAGGGTTAGACGCTGGTCAAGTTACCGTGAAATGCCCCATATATATGTATAAATAAATAAATATAAAACTTACATAAAGAAGAAGTTAAATGTGGAGAAATAACTTCACTCAGTGACTTATTTTCTTTGATGTTTTCGTGTGCCACAGTGAATGTAGAGGTACTGGTACCAATATTTACACCTAAAAAATGTTCAGTTATTTTAATCCAAAAAGTTTATTGTATAATTATTAAAAATTTAAATTAACATGAATTCATCATAATTTCTTTTTAAATATTTATTTACCTTTATATCCACAGCCTTCTGTAAATAATGTGGGTTCAGCATTTCCTCGCAATCTAAACCCACCACACCCGGAAAGCATACTTTTCTCAAAATGCTCTCCACAAACATATCGAGTCCTTTTCACTTTCTCATATTTTAATTCGCTTCTGCCAATAGAGTCAAGCCAATGATTTCTCCTAAAGTTAATTAAAAATTATTATAGATAAAGAGTAATAAATCATTTATATTATTCATTTAATAATTTAAATATAGTCCCTCAATTGTAGGCACAGAAGTGTTGGTATCAGATGCAACAATGATTTACTTGAAATATTTTGAATTCAGTAAAAAAATACTAAAAATGTATGTTACATTTCTAAAGGTATGTACAATAAAATTTAATAGTATTTATTTATTAAATACATATTTCAATTTATTTACATGAAACATTAAATACCTATGTATAATTATTAAAATCATACATTTTAAACTATTATTTTCTAATAGTTATTCAAAATACCTCGTTAAAAATGTCGAAACATAAATATAATAATAAAAATATACGTGCCGAATTGGATCTTTTCGCAAAACATGGAAATGCAACTTTGGATTAGTTCTTGCATTAGATTTGCAATTTAAAACACAACAATAATTCACCATTGTCACTAAAATAACATACACACATAAAAAACAATATTAAGATGCATCCACGAACATAACCATATATTTATATGTAAGCATAGGTATTAAAGTACTTAGGTAAAGGTATAATAATAATTTAAAGCAAAGGTATATTGAAAACGTTTGGTAAGAATTGTAATCGCGCAGCTTTGTCGCGCAAGCAGTTTAAAGTAGGTCAATAACCTTTCGTCCTTGGAATCTTTTAAGAAATAAATTCAAATTATTTGAAGGCGTCAATTGGTGTATCGGCATTGTCTGCAGGTTTCTACGCAAGTTCAAATATTGTAGTTTTTTTTTATAAAAAAAACAATTTTTTATTTTAATAATCGTAACTATAGGTATTACTGAAAAATACACTGAGAATAGTATATTAAAGTACAAGTTGCAGAAGGCCACATATTCTCGCACGAATTCGAAATTTGGCCTCGAGCGACGAAGGAGCGAGTGGACGAACGAATGAGTACGAGAATAGCCTTCTGCAACGAGAGATTTATACTATTTTCTCGATTTTAACTTTTATTTAGGTTTTTTTAATTGTTTTGTGGTCGTTGTTAGTTGGGGGATTTTTCTCGCAAAATGTCAGTTGGCAACACAAAATATTTGTTAAACTTAAAATTTTGCATTAAAATGCATTGTTGGAGCAAACTTAATATTAAAAAACAATAATAAAGGCTTCATTTTCAATAAAAGTGTAGTTCAGGTTGCACTAGTGCAGGATAACAAACAAAGCTATTATAAATAACCCTAAAAGTAATTAATTTGAGGTTATTAAACAGTTTGACATTTTGGGGGTACCAATACTTAAAAACTAAATGATACCAAAAATCGTTTAAGAATGAGCTTCATTCTTCAACGATTTTGCGTGCGAGAATATGACATTCTTACATAAAAATCGAGAAAAAAATGGGACAAATAAACTGTGTAGCTAATACTTTTATTAATAGTGAATATATTGTTTATTACCTCTAAATAGTCGAAATAATAACGATAAATATACTTTAGTAAAACTTTATGTGTCGGGAATAAAAATATATTTAGGATAAATAAACTTTTTTCTCAGTGTAGTATCAAGTTTGATAAACGCCATTTTATACACGAATGAGTGTATAGAAAAGTTTATAAACGAGATGCATACTATATATAGTATAAAAGTATATTTTTTCTACGACAAAAATGATTTAAATCAAAAATTTGTATAGAGCGCCATCTATGAAACAATAGGGGAATCTGTGTGTCACCGTCAAATGTCACATTTTTACATTTTATAAACACAGATTATAAAGGTCATAAATCGAAATGTATTTCTTGAAAATTGACGGTTTTTCACAGTGAAAGTAAAGAAAATGTTTTATGAGCACTTTACAGTGGAGTCCGTGCCCGAATTTAAGTTATAGTTTACAGCCGGCGAAATTAAAAGGTGAGTACAAGTTAATGGTTAAAATTACGTTAAAAATGTTTATTGGCATGGTTACTTTATTTTCGCATAGATGTCGCTTTATATTTTTTTGTTCCGACATTTTTAACGAGTTCTTTTGAATAACTATTGGAAAATAATGTAAAATGTATGATTTTAATTATAGGTACATATTTAATGAATTTAAAATTTAATATTTCAAGTAAATAAGTTGAATTGTGTCATTGGCTTGACTCTATTGGCAGAAGCAAATTAAAAAGCTATGTTAAGATATTCATATTACTAATAATTATACATTAAACTTTTTGGATCATAATAACTGAACACTTTTTAGTTTTTTAGATGTATATGTTGGTGCCAGTACCTACATTCACAGTAGTACACAAAAACATTGAATAAAATAAGTCACTGGATGAAATTATTTCTCCAGATGTAAGCTTTCCTCCAAGTTTTATATTAATTTATTGAAAGTAAATCAAAATAAAGACAAATTGCTTATAAAAGTTTAGAATAGCTAATTATTTAATATTTGAATTTTTTTTTGGTACCTACCTATTGTAGCCTTCGAATAAGTTTTAGGATTTTTTAAATTTTTATTTGTCTTTAATTCATCATCTGAAACATCATCATCTGAAACATCATCATCTGAAACAATAAAACATATTTTAATAAATTTATATACCTACATTTAGGTACCTAAAAATGATATCACAAAGGTTAATTGTTTTTAGAACCATATTACTTTAATAAAAAGCTTTATTGGACACAACAAAACCTACTTTTAAAACCATAACGCCTATTACCCTTGTAAGTTTTAACTTTGCTTTATTATGGGATGTTATTTATACCCTTATCAAACCATATTAACTTAAGATACTCTTAAGGCCTATTTATAAAAGATTATTACGAAGATATTCAGAAATTTTTTTGTGTGGCAGGGGGAGAAAATATCAATAAACTGTTGGCAACATTGCATTAAAAAACAAAAGCAAAATTACATTACACTAATTTTAATATAAGCCAACCAAACCTTTATAATCTGTACATACCTGGTAATAATAATGTTGGGTAAGCCTTACGGCCAAGTCTTTTATTGCGTGAAAAGTCTTTCGGATTAAAATGCTTTGAGCAAACTCTGCAGTTGGTGTAAATTTTTTGGGGTGTCATCACACGAAGTCGTTTGTTGGCACATAACATGACCCATTTATTTAACAAGTCTAAATTCTTTGAAGGATTTGGAAAGGAATGTTTTGATTCCTTGGATCTCACACAACTTTTAACCACACAATGTATGGCAACCATCTGTAGTAGCAGTTTTAAAAGAAGATATTATCAGAATAAGTGATTAAATACCTTTCAAAATGTAAAAAAGTATTGTTTTAATATAATATTACGCAAATAGTTTGCAATATAAATTGTATAGAAATACACAAGAGAAAAACAACAAAACAAACTGACAGTCAGCCTGACAGCTTGATAAACAATGGCGGGGTTGCAACATCGTCATTAACAACAGCGCCTTCTCGGAAAATGAAGTACTATACTATACTTTCATTGAAGTAAATTGTGTATTCTTTTTGTCCAAGGCTGCTACCAGCAGTGACTCACATTATTTTCACAATATCCGAATTCATTTGTTCAGTTTTTGGTAATCATTGGGAAAATTAATTAAATCTGGCAACACAGTAAAACGATTTGGCGCTCACAGCCCGTGAGCGACGAATCGTTTTACTGTGTTGCCAGATTCAATTAATTTTCCCAATGATTACCAAAATCTGAAAAAATGAATTCGAAAATTGTGAAAATATTGTAGAAAAAAAATTATGGCACAAAATGTTTTTATAAATATTTTTTCATTAAAAAAAATACATACAATTTTATATAAAATTTTATTTACACAAAAAACAGCCTTCTATAATACATATTGTATAATACAATTTGTATTAAATAAAAAAAATATCATTGGTATACTTATACCAAAGTCACTCTAATGTTGGTAAGTCCTTTTTAAGATTCTCCAAAAACACAATTCTATTAACTACATTTGTCTTGCTACGTTGCTTCAAATATTTTATTGCATAATCTATACACTGTTCTGCAAATTCCATATCAATTTCTTCGCTTAAATCCTCTTCTTTTATTTCCAAATTTTCTTCTGGAAGTATTTCTTCCACAGTATCACAACAATCTGTTGGCTCTACTTTAATGAACTCCATTGGTTGTGGAAAATCTCCATTTGAATTATTTGCACCCGATTCATCTAAATTATATGCAGTTAAAAATTACAGAAAAAAGTTAACTGATGGTTAAATTAATTTACACTAACAAATTATTAACATCAAATAGTTAATTTTGCATTTTTTGTTCAATAATTCGTATTATAATTTCTTCCTCTTATAGGTTAAAGATTTACATGGAGGAAATAATGTAGGAGAGGTTTGTACAAAATGTTTATCACAAATTCTATGATTTGCATAAACTTTGTAATAATAATAAAAGATTATTACAAAGATATTCGGAGAATTTTTTGGGGTATGAAAATATCAATAAACTGTTGGCAACATTGCATTAAAAAAACAAAAGCAAAATTACTTTACACTAATTTTAATATAAGCCTACCATACCTTTATAATCTGTACATACCTGGTAATAATAATGTTGGGTAAGCCTGACGGCCAAGTCTATTATTTGTCTTGCTACGTTGCTTCAAATATTTTATTGCATAATCTATACACTGTTCTGCAAATTCCATATCAATTTCTTCGCTTAAATCCTCTTCTTTTATTTCCAAATTTTCTTCTGGAAGTATTTCTTCCACAGTATCACAACAATCTGTTGGCTCTACTTTAATGAACTCCATTGGTTGTGGAAAATCTCCATTTGAATTATTTGCACCCGATTCATCTAAATTATATGCAGTTAAAAATTACAGAAAAAAGTTAACTGATGGTTAAATTAATTTACACTAACAAATTATTAACATCAAATAGTTAATTTTGCATTTTTTGTTCAATAATTCGTATTATAATTTCTGCCTCTTATAGGTTAAAGATTTACATGGAGGAAATAATGTAGGAGAGGTTTGTACAAAATGTTTATCACAAATTCTATGATTTGCATAAACTTTGTAATAATAATAAAAGATTATTACAAAGATATTCGGAGAATTTTTTGGGGTATGAAAATATCAATAAACTGTTGGCAACATTGCATTAAAAAAACAAAAGCAAAATTACTTTACACTAATTTTAATATAAGCCTACCATACCTTTATAATCTGTACATACCTGGTAATAATAATGTTGGGTAAGCCTGACGGCCAAGTCTATTATTACGTAAAAAGTCTTTCAGAGTAAAATGCTTTGCACAAACTCTGCAGTTGGTGTAAATTTTTTGGGGTGTCATCTCAAGAAGTCGTTTGTTGGCACATAACTTGACCCATTTATTAAACAAGTCTAAATTCTTTGAAGGATTTGGAAAGGAATGTTTTGATTCCTTGGATCCCCAACAACTATTAACCGCACAATATACGGCAACCATCTGTAGTAGCAGTTTTAAAAGAAGATATTTTCAGAATAAGTGATTAAAACATACCTTTCAAAATGTAAAACAGTATTGTTTTAATACAATACTTCGCAAATAGTTTGCAATATAAATTGTCTAGAAATGCACAAGAGAAAAACAACAAAACAAGCTGACACTGTTAGCCTGACAGCTTGATAAACAATGGCGGGGTTGCAACATCGTCATTAACAACAGCGCCTTCTCGGAAAATGAAGGTACTATACTATACTTCCATTTGAGTAAATTGTGTATTGTTTTTGTCTAGGGCTGCTACCAGCAGCCTGCTATGTCCTAGCGGCTGTGACTCACATAGTTTTCACAATATCCGAATTCATTTGTTCAGTTTTTGGTAATCATTGGGAAAATTAATTCAATCTGGCAACGCAGCAAAACGATTTGGCGCTCACAGCCTGTGAGCGACGAATCGTTTTACTGTGTTGCCAGATTCAATTAATTTTCCCAATGATTACCAAAAACTGAACAAATGAATTCGGATATTGTGATAACAATGTAAAGAAAAAAATTATAACAATAAATGTTTTTATATATATTTTTTTCATTAAAAAACTACATACAATTTTATATAAAATTTTATTTACACAAAAACAGCCTTCTATAATACATATTGTATTAAATAAAAAAATATCATTGGTATACCTATACCAAAGTCACTCTAATGTTGGTAAGTCCTTTTTAAGGTTCTCCAAAAACTCAATTCTATTAACTACATTTGTCTTCCTACGTTGTTTCAAATATTTTATTGCATAATCTATACACTGTTCTGCAAACTCTATATCAATTTCTTCACTTAAATCCTCTTCTTTTATTTCCAAATTTTCTTCTGGAAATATTTCTTCCACAGTATCACAACAATCGGTTGGCTCTACCTTAATGAACTCTATTGGTTGTGGTAATTCCCCATTTGAATTATTTGCTAAAAAATTACAGAACTGTCAGGTTTTATTTGGTTTGCATCCATTAATAGCGCAATACTTCGTTTTTTCCATAATAAAAACACGCCTTATATTCTATATTTATTTTTTATGTATAAACTAACAAATTGTTACAATACAAAAATCAGCTCTTATGGTTGTAGGTTATGTTGTTGTCAGTGTTGCCAACCTCTTCCAATATTTTATCGGTAGATTCCTTGGAAATTTTCGGTAGATGATGATAAAATTTCGGTAGATTTAAATATAAGTGTAATTTTTAATGGAAAAATATTTATTAAAAATAAAAAAATCTAATAAAAACAATAACATAATAATGTTAACATAAATTGAATATTTATTGAGAGAAATTTTACAAAAAATAATAAAATTGTAAAAAGTACAAACACAAAAAAATTAAGAGAACAAATGCCGTTAAATTTTAAAGAAAGTTGAATTTTCTGAACTTTACCAATCATCGGATGACGAAATAAACACTGGTGGCGCCATCTCTGTGTTTATTATCTAAAAACCGATCCAACCTCACTTTCTCCCAATTAAATTATTTTTTCTATGGTATTTTTTGAAAACGTAGAAAAAGTATAGTCGGAAACACGTTCGGAATTGCATATTCCGCTCTCGTGAAACCGTCAAACTCGGCTTGTGTGATGAACTTTTCACTCAAGCGTAATATGCCGTATTCCAAACTTGTTACAGATTATACTATTATCGTTAAGTGAAGAAGTATTAATCAATGCTAATAAAGTATAATGAAAATCTGCGATACAAATGATGTCGGTAAAAACATTTTTAATCACATACTTATTATCTAAGTATAATATTTTTATGCAATTTAATCTAAAAAAAGTTATTTTTTTGGATTATTGCAAGATTTAGATTTTCGGTAGAATATCGATGTCTATCGGTAGATCGGTAGAATTTTTCAGAAATCGGTAGATCTACCGAAAATTCGGTAGGGTTGGCAACACTGGTTGTTGTTGACAAGTTGTCAATGACAACCTTAGAGGCAAGAAGACCACACAGCGCAATGTCAGAGAAAGTGGTAAGAACAATCATTTTACTCCTCTTTTGTAATAAATAAACCTTATTCTATCAGGGCTGTCAAATGTCAATTTGAAGGTTAGTTTGTGGGTTATAAAATAACCTTAAAATTTACATTTGACAGACCTGATAGAATAAGGTTTATTTTTACAAAAGAGGAGTAAAATGATTGTTCTTACCAATTTGAGGTCTCTTTTAAGGCTTGCAAGTCTCTCTGTAAACACAACGTTTAAAACGATTATTAATCTGCACAAACCCAAAGCAAAAGAATTGTAAAGAACAAAAATGGCCGCCATTAAATGATGTGCACTGTTGCAGTGATTTTTAGTATTTTAGATTGTTGTTTTTACAAACCTCGCAAAACACAAATAACATGCGCGGTAAAGCTGCGCAATTGCAACTTATTGTTATTTTTTAAAATTTGAGCAAATGCTAATTTAAAAATAAGTCTTAATAATACGTTTTTTATAACAAATAATTTACTTTTATTGGCACAAATTGCTTCTTCTGGGAGATCCAAAGTTTCAGACCTGTAAATTTGACATTTAGTAAAACATTTAACAGAACCTAAAAATAAATGTTACTTTTCAGGCAAAAACAAAGTCGGAACAGCATCCTCAGTTAGGCCTCTGTAGGATAGTGGTGGAGGCAAACCGTACAAAACTTCATGTCGATGCCTAACCATGTATTTCAGATCAAAATGCACAGAACAAACCCGATCTAAATGCATAAATACATATATTACAACTCGATCTTTATCCAATCTTGTGGTACTTACAAGACCTAAATTTCTCTCGATTCACATGTGGATTGCCAGCAGCCTTAATCCATTCTTTGGCATTTGACCAGTTTGCTGGCAAATTGTGAAATTTTAAACCACTGTTTCTGTAGTTATTCTTACAAGTTTTAACAATGCAGCAAGCCACTGAATAAATGAATTTATATTCAGGTAGAAAACGGACTAATGTTTTAACATAGTTTTACTTACTGGTTAAACAATATTATTTGCACTAAAGACAATGGCAAAATCCAATGGGATTAATGATTATTTCATCTAATAATACTAAACTCACAGGAGCAATAACATTATTGTTAACAAAATCAACGATTTTAAATATTTGTAAACAATAAAAATGGCGTCCAATTGTGCAGTTGGTTGCCTACCTTCGTGAATTTTAATTTCAGCGAATCCAAATAAAAGACTATATATAGGAATAAAAATAGAAATAACATAAGGTGTATCAGAGATAAACAGGTGTATGTATCTTGGAAATAACACACTGTTATAGGTATCTATGGAATGGACTACCTACACAAAATATATGAGGGTATACTGTTTATTTCCATATTAAAACACTCTTTCAAATAATCTGAAATGCTTATTTATTTTGGTCAAAATAGGTTATAATCGACAAATTTCAAACAGCATTCTTACATAAATAAAAAATCATCGCATTCTTCCCTCCATATTTAAAAGACTTCTCCCTAGACTTGGTCTAGGGACTTCTCTGCATAGAAAAAGGATATTTCTGTGGCTAAACTGTTCAGCGTTGCCAACACTAGGGAAATAAAGTGTAGGGAATTTTCAACCTGAACCAGTGTTGCCAGATGTAAAAGTTGAAATTATCGAATTGGGTTAATAAAATTATCGAATTTTCGGAAAATATGTTACAATAATTGTAATAATTATGTTACAATAATTATTATAATTTAATCATAAAAAAGTGAAAGAAACAGGGTTGAAAATATTATCGAATTTTTAGAAAATTATAAAATTTGTTAAAAATAGTATAAAGCTGGATTTATAGTTCAGAAAGTAGCGGTAGCGGTAATGGCCCCTCGCATAAACACTAAACTTACAAGGCTAGGCTGCCAACTAAAAACTGCCGTGTGATTGGCTGGAGTAGCGGTTGCCGCTACGTTCTTGCCTCTACTTCCCTTACCTCTGACAACTATAAATTTTTTCATATAATATTCAATTCCCAACCTGGCTACCTCTACCGTTACCGTTAGAACTATAAATACCGTACGGGAATCTATAAACAGCACTACGCTATTGTTGATCTTTTACGGGAGGAAGGAAGGGAATCTATAAATCATGCATTATGCTTAATTAAATTAATTAATCTGGATAGAATTAAGTTAATTTTGTCCAGATACTTGGATTAAAAACAATGTTACAATTATCGAATATGTTACATATAATTTTCAAGCTTTGTTTTTAGAAAAAATTATGTTACAATTCGATAATTATGTTACAAGTGGCAACACTGACCTGAACCAGACTGGTTCGCACGTGACGTCAATGCGCGGAATCGACGAGTTTTTGTTTCATAACCAGCATACCGGTTTTTATGCATAGTAATCGAGATAAACGTGGTTTTTCGTTATATTTGTTGTACTTTAATAAAGTAACTTTATAACTATTTTACAAGTTTTAAATTACAATATGCCGGGTTGTGCTGTAGCAGGCTGCAGAAATTTTAACAAAAACACTAAAGGCAGCGACATAAAATATTTTCGATTTCCGAAAAACGGAGATATGGCAGCGCAGTGGGTGAATGCGTGCAAGAGAAAGGATAAAATTAATTTAAAAAACGGTAAGTACAGGCAACTTTTCGTATACCCAATTTTCTGTTTATCCTAACCACATATTTTTTGCAGCTTGCATTTGTTCCGTGCACTTTGCCGAAGGTTGTTCTGAAATACCATTAAGACAAAGAATGCTGCAGTATTGTCCGAAAAATAGCCGCCACTTAAAACCAGATGCAATACCGACATTGCGTCTTCCTGGTACTTCGAAAGCAACAGATGAAACCAATTGTTCTTTGAGGTTAGAAAAAATAGAGTGTAAAGAAGAATACATGGATATTACTATTAAAGACGAACCATTAACTTCTGTTGCCACAACATCTACTCCCTCAATATTTAACAAAGATAACAATTTGTTAAACAAAAAAATAAAAACTTTGGAGGAAGAAAACGTTAAATTAAAACAAGAAGTTGAAGATGCAAAGAATGTAACAATAAAAAGGTATGAGGACGCATTGGCCCAAGTATTTACCCCGGGACAGATAGAAAAACTACTGAATCCAAACAAGGAAATTGATTGGACTTCGGAGGAAATAGCTTCAGCTATTTCCCTGTACAGTGTGAGTCCTCTAGCATATAGGTATCTCATACTAGCTCACAACTATCCACTGCCAGAAATTTTGACTTTGAGGAATATAATTTTCAATTTAAAGTGATGACCAGACAACCTTCTAAACTTGCCATTCTGGAGAAATTATGTGCAGTCACATTTGATGAAGTTTATGTTTTCAAGAAAATGGAAATCGACAAAAAAGCTGAACAGGTTGTTAAAAAAATTGGCATTGGCAATGCTGGTTATAGGTTATGTTGATCAGCACCCTTAGACAAGGAAAAAGAGTGACATTTAAATAAAACAATTCTGAAAATAACAAATTAAGTATTTTTTGGGAATAAAGGTCTTGGTTTATAACCTCAATTATTTGAATATTCCCTATCTGTCAATTAGGTTATATAACTGTCAGTTTAAAGCCAATTTCGTCGTTACTTTCTGAAAATAATACAATATACGTTTATAACCCAAATAATACTTATGTACTTATGTGTTATTTTCAGAAATTTGGCATTTAAATGTCACTCTTCAATCAAAACTCTATTATATTTAAAAAATTAAGGTTGTCTGTCAATTTAACGCTATTTTCGTATTAAATAATAATAATAGTTATTATCATAAATTACAATATTCTATTATTTTAAGAAAATAAGACGAAATTAGTGTTAAACAGATAGGTAACCTCGATTATTTTATTCTATGCTGCTGCATAGCACATGTTTTATGAAAATAAAATATACATTACCTACTTGTATTATAAAAATATTTATTTACACAATTCCCTCTTGTTTTACTCGAAAACCGCGATATATTTTTCATAAGGGCAAGGTAATTTTTTTTCTGAAAAACATGAAAAAGAAGTTGCAAAAATAATTTTTGCTTACTAATTCGAGCACGCTGATTCCAAAAAATCAAACCGCACTTTCGTATCTCTTCCCGTTCGGAAGTTACACTCGAAAAACGCGATATTTTTGTCAAAAGGGTCCCCCCTTATGACATTTTTTCTGAAAAAGTAGAAAAAAAAAGTTGCAAAAACAATTTTTCCTAACTAATTCGACCACGCTGATTCCAAAAATTCAAACCGCACTTTCGTATCTCTTCCCGTTCGGAAGTTACACTCGAAAAACGCGATATTTTTCTCAAAAGGGTCCCCCCTTATAAGATTTTTTCTGAAAAAGTGGAAAAAAAAAGTTGCAAAAACAATTTTTCCTAACTAATTCGAGCACGCTGATTCCAAAAATTCAAACCGAACTTTCGTATCTCTTCCCGTTCGGAAGTTACACTCGAAAAACGCGATATTTTTGTCAAAAGGGTCCCCCCTTATGAGATTTTTTCTGAAAAAGTAGAAAAAAAAAGTTGCAAAAACAATTTTTCCTAACTAATTTGAGCACGCTGATTCCAAAAAATCAAACCGCACTTTCGTATCTCTTCCCGTTCGGAAGTTACACTCGAAAAACGCGATATTTTTGTCAAAAGGGTCCCCCCTTATGACATTTTTTCTGAAAAAGTAGGAAAAAAAAGTTGCAAAAACAATTTTTCCTAACTAATTCGACCACGCTGATTCCAAAAATTCAAACCGCACTTTCGTATCTCTTCCCGTTCGGAAGTTACACTCGAAAAACGCGATATTTTTCTCAAAAGGGTCCCCCCTTATAAGATTTTTTCTGAAAAAGTGGAAAAAAAAAGTTGCAAAAACAATTTTTCCTAACTAATTCGACCCCGCTGATTCCAAAAAATCAAACAGCACTTTCGTATCTCTTCCCGTTCGGAAGTTACAGTCGAAAATCGCGATATTTTTCTCAAAAGGGTCCCCCCTTATGAGATTTTTTCTGAAAAAGTAGAAAAAAAAAGTTGCAAAAACAATTTTTCCTAACTAATTCGAGCACGCTGATTCCAAAAATTCAAACCGAACTTTCGTATCTCTTCCCGTTCGGAAGTTACACTCGAAAAACGCGATATTTTTGTCAAAAGGGTCCCCCCTTATGAGATTTTTTCTGAAAAAGTAGAAAAAAAAAGTTGCAAAAACAATTTTTCCTAACTAATTCGAGCACGCTGATTCCAAAAATTCAAACCGCACTTTCGAATCTCTTCCCGTTCGGAAGTTACACTCGAAAAACGCGATATTTTTGTCAAAAGGGTCCCCCCTTATGACATTTTTTCTGAAAAAGTAGAAAAAAAAAGTTGCAAAAACAATTTTTCCTAACTAATTCGAGCACGCTGATTCCAAAAATTCAAACCGCACTTTCGTATCTCTTCCCGTTCGGAAGTTACACTCGAAAAACGCGATATTTTTGTCAAAAGGGTCCCCCCTTATGACATTTTTTCTGAAAAAGTAGAAAAAAAAGTTGCAAAAACAATTTTTCCTAACTAATTCGAGCACGCTGATTCCAAAAATTCAAACCGCACTTTCGTATCTCTTCCCGTTCGGAAGTTACACTCGAAAAACGCGATATTTTTGTCAAAAGGGTCCCCCCTTATGACATTTTTTCTGAAAAAGTAGAAAAAAAAAGTTGCAAAAACAATTTTTCCTAACTAATTCGAGCACGCTGATTCCAAAAATTCAAACCGCACTTTCGTATCTCTTCCCGTTCGGAAGTTACACTCGAAAAACGCGATATTTTTGTCAAAAGGGTCCCCCCTTATGACATTTTTTCTGAAAAAGTAGAAAAAAAAGTTGCAAAAACAATTTTTCCTAACTAATTCGAGCACGCTGATTCCAAAAATTCAAACCGCACTTTCGTATCTCTTCCCGTTCGAAAGTTACACTCGAAAAACGCGATATTTTTGTCAAATGAGATTTTTTCTGAAAAAGTAGAAAAAAAAAGTTGCAAAAACAATTTTTCCTAACTAATTCGAGTACGCTGATTCCAAAAATTCAAACCGCACTTTCGTATCTCTTCCCGTTCGGAAGTTACACTCGAAAAACGCGATATTTTTGTCAAAAGGGTCCCCCCTTATGACATTTTTTCTGAAAAAGTAGAAAAAAAAAGTTGCAAAAACAATTTTTCCTAACTAATTCGACCACGCTGATTCCAAAAATTCAAACCGCACTTTCGTATCTCTTCCCGTTCGGAAGTTACACTCGAAAAACGCGATATTTTTGTCAAAAGGGTCCCCCCTTTTGAGATTTTTTCTGAAAAAGTAGAAAAAAAAAGTTGCAAAAACAATTTTTCCTAACTAATTCGAGCACGCTGATTCCAAAAATTCAAACCGCACTTTCGTATCTCTTCCCGTTCGGAAGTTACACTCGAAAAACGCGATATTTTTGTCAAAAGGGTCCCCCCTTTTGAGATTTTTTCTGAAAAAGTAGAAAAAAAAAGTTGCAAAAACAATTTTTCCTAACTAATTCGAGCACGCTGATTCCAAAAATTCAAACCGCACTTTCGTATCTCTTCCCGTTCGGAAGTTACACTCGAAAAACGCGATATTTTTGTCAAAAGGGTCCCCCCTTTTGAGATTTTTTCTGAAAAAGTAGAAAAAAAAAGTTGCAAAAACAATTTTTCCTAACTAATTCGAGCACGCTGATTCCAAAAATTCAAACCGCACTTTCGTATCTCTTCCCGTTCGGAAGTTACACTCGAAAAACGCGATATTTTTGTCAAAAGGGTCCCCCCTTATGACATTTTTTCTGAAAAAGTAGAAAAAAAAGTTGCAAAAACAATTTTTCCTAACTAATTCGAGCACGCTGATTCCAAAAATTCAAACCGCACTTTCGTATCTCTTCCCGTTCGGAAGTTACACTCGAAAAACGCGATATTTTTGTCAAAAGGGTCCCCCCTTATGACATTTTTTCTGAAAAAGTAGAAAAAAAAGTTGCAAAAACAATTTTTCCTAACTAATTCGAGCACGCTGATTCCAAAAATTCAAACCGCACTTTCGTATCTCTTCCCGTTCGGAAGTTACACTCGAAAAACGCGATATTTTTGTCAAAAGGGTCCCCCCTTATGACATTTTTTCTGAAAAAGTAGAAAAAAAAGTTGCAAAAACAATTTTTCCTAACTAATTCGAGCACGCTGATTCCAAAAATTCAAACCGCACTTTCGTATCTCTTCCCGTTCGGAAGTTACACTCGAAAAACGCGATATTTTTGTCAAAAGGGTCCCCCCTTATGAGATTTTTTCTGAAAAAGTAGAAAAAAAAAGTTGCAAAAACAATTTTTCCTAACTAATTCGAGTACGCTGATTCCAAAAATTCAAACCGCACTTTCGTATCTCTTCCCGTTCGGAAGTTACACTCGAAAAACGCAATATTTTTGTCAAAAGGGTCCCCCCTTATGACATTTTTTCTGAAAAAGTAGAAAAAAAAAGTTGCAAAAACAATTTTTCCTAACTAATTCGACCACGCTGATTCCAAAAATTCAAACCGCACTTTCGTATCTCTTCCCGTTCGGAAGTTACACTCGAAAAACGCGATATTTTTCTCAAAAGGGTCCCCCCTTACGAGATTTTTTCTGAAAAAGTAGAAAAAAAAGTTGCAAAAACAATTTTTCCTAACTAATTCGAGCACGCTGATTCCAAAAATTCAAACCGCACTTTCGTATCTCTTCCCGTTCGGAAGTTACACTCAAAAAAACGCGATATTTTTGTCAAAAGGGTCCCCCCTTTTGAGATTTTTTCTGAAAAAGTAGAAAAAAAAAGTTGCAAAAACAATTTTTCCTAACTAATTCGAGCACGCTGATTCCAAAAATTCAAACCGCACTTTCGTATCTCTTCCCGTTCGGAAGTTACACTCGAAAAACGCGATATTTTTGTCAAAAGGGTCCCCCCTTTTGAGATTTTTTCTGAAAAAGTAGAAAAAAAAAGTTGCAAAAACAATTTTTCCTAACTAATTCGAGCACGCTGATTCCAAAAATTCAAACCGCACTTTCGTATCTCTTCCCGTTCGGAAGTTACACTCAAAAAAACGCGATATTTTTGTCAAAAGGGTCCCCCTTTTGAGATTTTTTCTGAAAAAGTAGAAAAAAAAAGTTGCAAAAACAATTTTTCCTAACTAATTCGAGCACGCTGATTCCAAAAATTCAAACCGCACTTTCGTATCTCTTCCCGTTCGGAAGTTACACTCGAAAAACGCGATATTTTTGTCAAAAGGGTCCCCCCTTTTGAGATT